AAAATTCTAATTTATATGATTTCTGTTTTTTAACATCTGAATGATGATTCTTATGTATTTTACTCCATAACGTAAAAGAAAAAAAAATTGCAAATTGTTTAAATTTGTGGAGTTTTATTAAAAAAGAATTTTATTAAAAAATTCTTAATTTCTCAAAAAAAAAATGTGGATGAAATTTTATATTCTTATTCGGCAGTTGAAAATATACGAGTCATTCAGGTGTTGAGGAACAAAAACCTTGTAAATCAGTATAATTTATAAGGATAAATCAATTTTAAATTAACAAAAAACTAGTTTCCTATTAAAAATAATGTGCATGAAATAGAACACATATCCATTAATATTTAATAATACTTACCGATGGGTGCTCCGAAAGCCGCTGATACTCCAGATGCAGCACCTCCGGACACAAACTCTCGTTTCTCATGATCCTCTCTAAAGTATTCAAATATTTTCAAGTCTTTCTTAAAAGTAGTACTTTTACCCTGAGAAATCCCTGCGGCTACGACAGCACCAGAATGGATCATAGGACCTTCCTGAAGTATACGAGATGTGAACAATGCTGACAAATGAAAAGAACAATGATGAACCGCTTACCTTGCCTCCTGCTAAGCCTCCGACTACAGTGCATATAACACCAATAATTTTCACAGCCAGAGTTTTAATACGTACAACTTGCGGTATTTTGACTCCATTTAAATAACATTTCACTTGTGGAATACCACTTCCTGCAGCAACAGGTTCAATATAGGATACTAAGACAGCACCTATGAAAACTGGTACTACATTTAGCACTAACCACATCATGTATGGTAACCAAAGGCAACCTTCCATCACACACTGGTCCACATCTATTGACACAAAGTTCACATATTATTATTTTATATATCATAGAACATATTTATATAGATTAACATGTTAGAACACAACATACATTTCTTAAGCCAGCCATATTTTAGGCTGGATAATTCCTCTATTAGTACATCTACAAAGCACGCTATGAGAGCAGTACAAATTCCGATTAAGAGAAAGATAAACCATCTGGCGAAATTCTTTCTAACGATAAATTTGTATCCTTTCTTCCTCTCTTCATCTTGTAGAAGATAATTTTCACAAGGGTCATAATCCAAACTCTGAAAAAAAAGATGCTATTAATTTATCTTACTAAGCAAAGATAATACATATAAATGAAATACAGTATTAAAACATAAATACATGTGTTTAAAACAGGATCAGAAGGTGATTGCAATCAATTCATAATTAAAAGTTCATTATGAAGCAATTACCTCATAATTAGTTGATAAGAAATTAGTCGTTCCTGGGATTATATCCCTGATATGTAATCTTTTGGATTGACCCGAGATAGCCTCTATATCACTGCATGTTATGTTAATGTTGGCGATGCTCTGTGTTGACACAATAAAGTCAATACTTCTAGGCTATATTCAGAAATTTCAGATATATTCATGTATTATTTTATCTTTGTTTAATAAATATTTTGTGAACAAGGTTAAAATGATGGTGGAACAAGGTTAAAATGGAATCATGGTGGAAGAATAAAAGCCATGATTTTCTTCTACCATGCATGGAGCTTAAGTGGTGTTTCCAAATGTAATCCTAGAAGCAATGCTCTATATTTCTATAGATATATATTTTCTAACATCTAACATCTGCCTGTTCTTTTTAATTGAACATCTTGCAACATGATAAAAAAAAGAAGATGAACTATTGGAAGACACTTGCTAAAATAACTAAAAAATATTCATCTAAAAATTCAAGAAGCATAGAGGAGAGAGAGAGAGAGAGAGAGAGAGAGAGAGAGAAAGAGAGAGAGATGCATGAAAGCTACAAAATTCGATATACCCGGAATCGCACGTCGATATCCTCGTTTGAATATGATGCAAAATTATTCCTTGGCTTGATCAGCCTTTCTTCATCGTCCTCATCATAAACATCGATTCTGTCATTATTTTCGCCACTGCTTTGCGTTGACGAATTCATTATTTCTGAGCGACAGGATCTAATAATCGACTCTTAGCCACATCTCTTGGAGTCCTTGGAAAAAAGCGATCAAAACAAACTACGAGTTCATATCATGTCATAATGACAACTATGGCAATGTATAGCATATATGCACGAGGAAATTAATATATCATCTTCCTCTTTGAATGGCTTCACAACCGATAGATAAATCGGCTGAGACTGGACCACTGATATTCGAATGTCGAAAAATAGAATTTATAATAAATAAACACGATGCACCGATCACCATAAACAAAAAAATCCTTAAATGGATGATGTAATACAGTCAGAAATGACAATTGATGACAATAATACTATTCTCCAGACACTAGGCACCTATGACTGAATGAAGAGTTTACAGAAATGAAAAATACGATTGCTCAATTGAAGTCGGCAATACTTTTCAAAAAATTCCGAGATGATGCAACATTCGTGTCAAGACGAAACACATTCGCCTCATTTGAGTGATCTGTCGAGATGTCAAGCCTTATAAAATCACATGGCAAAAAGATGATTAAGGTTGCATTCGGGAAGACACTATTAGCGCTATTTGCGTCATTCAATCTTCATTGTCCATTAGGTGTGAAACAAAGACATTACCCAAATGACGCAGATAGCGCGTTCCTTGAATGCACTCTTGTATCCTTCTATGTAGTACCAGAGAGAAATGTATACGTATATACAATCGAATCATTACTATCAGCTATCAGCAGCGAGAACGTGATTGTGAGGTGACTTATCGCTACATAATTTGACACAATTGCGGAAGCTAGAGATCTTGACTGTGGTCAAAGTCTCGCTTTGAAGCATTTGATGGACCAATTAGAAGAAAGAATTTTACAAACTAATTAAAAAACATTTCAAAGCGTTTACATCGCGTTGACCGTACCCCCTGGCTGCATTCAGGGAGTGCGTTATCTTTAGATTTATTCATGTCCTACTACAGTTCCTACTCACTCTATCAAGCGCGTTGGAATGAGAAAGAGCTATGATAGGAACATATTACATGTTGGAGCTTGCGATGCGTACAAACCTTTTTTTATGTCATACTGGTCAACGCTTTGAAGCGTTTTTTAACTGGACAGTTTGTAAAATTCTTTCTTCTAATTGGTCCATCAAATGCTTTAAAGCATTTGTAGTGAGACTTTAACCATAGCCACTATCTATTGGTCTATTTTCTGTTCCTGCACTAAATTGCACTAGGGTATCAATCATAAAATTTTTTTTTCAAGGATGAAAAGTAAAAGGCGAAAAATTTCTCTAGTAACTTCAATGTTAAGGTTAAAATATCTCTTTCTCACTTTTAACAAATATCAAACATATACCTATTTCACTTTGTTCAAAAGTGTACACTTTCAGTCACAGAAAACAGACCTCTTGTTTCACGTTTACAGCCATTCTACATTAGTTGCAAGCTGATCGCAAGTTTGTTGCGACAGCCAATCTGAATCTTGCATTTTGAAATCAACGCTTCATATTGGCTGTCGCAACAAATTTGCAATCAGCTTGCAACTAATGTAGAACTGACTTAATGGACGATGAAGTTAGGGTATGGCCTGTATTCAGAACGTGCTTTTATCGATAAAATCGCGCTTTTATCTCTAAAATTCTATAATATGCGTAACGTAAATTATGGATGCTTTCCACCAAGGACACAATCATACACAGTGTAACACAATGAATCACATCCTTGTTGTTTGCTTACATTAAACAAGGATGAAATGATTTTTTGGCCCATATTTAGAACGCGCTTTTATCGAAAAGCGCATTTTTATCTCTGAAATTCTATAATATGCTTGACGTAAAGTATAGTATGTTAGCGTGCTACCATCGTTAGTCTAGTTTCCACTGAGGGTTTAATCCGGATCAGAATATAAGAACCAATCAACTACAGCATTCTCCTGTCGTTCGACTGTAACAGGGGAATACTCGACTGTAATTGGTTAGTTATATTATCTTATATTCTAATCCGGTTTAAATCCTCGATGGAAACTAGACCATTGTAAGCGCGTTCTGAATACAGGTCTTTTTAAATCTGAAATTCTATAATATGCGTAACGCAATATAATATATTATAATAAATAATATAATAAGTAATATAATATATTAGCACGCTAACATCGTTGTAACATCGTGTTCTGAATATAGGCCATATCTGTATTCGTTTACGCAGTGGTTAGCGCAGAAGTTACTTTGGGTACGATCAACGCGATGCTGCAAATGCTTTGAAGCGTTTTTTAATTGGTCAGTTTGTAAAATTTTTTCTTCTATTGGTCCATCAAATGCTTCAAAGCATTTGTAGCGAGATTTTGACAGCCTTCTTATTGTTCATCAAGCATTAAACAAGGATTAAATATTCCCTGCACTAACCATTGCATAAACAAATGCACTAATAATGACATCAGAGAGAAATTTGAGAAAGGACATGACGACTCAAAATTTGAGAGTCGATTGTGTATCTTGAAATGAAGTAAAAATTACAAAAGCGAAAAAATTTACTAAAATATTCAATTTAATTGGTGAATATCTAATGAATTTGCGCACTTTTGTAATTTTCACTTCCTTTCAAAATACTCAATCGACTACCTGCAACCGCAAACATTACATTCATTGTTCTCTCTGTATTCTCAATTATATGTATAAGGAATAACAAATAATGAGCACAATGTGATTTTCAAAATCAAAATACATATGTACGTGCGTACATACTTGTACGTATATATACTCGTGAACACTTGTTCAATTTTCGTAAATTTAAGAGGAACGATGTTCGATCTCAAATTCGATCTCACTTTCTCATAATTTTCTTACATAATCACTAAGTCTGATATCGTTTGAAAGTGAAACTTTTCACGTGAGATTGGTACGTATGAAAAAATAAAAGTTTCGTAAAAATTTACATAATCGATACCCTGATCTTTGAAAACAAAGATAGCCACTGCGGTCGCTTCTAGATAATGAAAATACGCTTCAGAATGGCGAATGTGGACCAAAAATGGCGGATAAAAAGAGATAATGATCGCGTTCGCAGACTCTGCTGAGTGTGGGTACGCCTCACAAGAGAGGATGCAGGGATGATCAGACGGTTAGATCTAGTATTTTAGGGACTCTAGCAGCAAATGCTCACTTAATTATTGAGTGCACTAAACGCAGCCATTATGTATAGTTTGTAGCAGGAATGCCTGGAGTTCGATTTTAGGAATTCACGTTCCGTTCTTAATTATTTTATATGCATGATTGTTAAAATTTGATACGACCGGATTATGTCAGCGATCATAAATGTATCATAGTATTTGTGAATTATGTTTCGACAGCCAACCGATATAACCTCAGTTTTAATCAGTGAAATCTCTCTATCAGATAACTTAGTGATTAGATTGAAGACATTTCAAAATTTCTCCATCCGGAGAAAGACGTAAAAGTTTTTTTAGTGAAATCTCTGAAACATTCCAAAATTCATTAATTGAAAGGAAGTGAATTAAAATCTTCAATGTATCAGATAAATTGTAGTTTTGAAAAAGTATAATTGTTTTTATTTGCCATTAAGAAAATATACTTTGTGAGTTATTTTTCTTATATTTTTCTTCTTTCTTCTATTATTATTATCTTCACAGATAATAATAATAATATAAATAAGCAAAGGTAATCAACGATGGAATATTTGTGACGAGAAGTATTTTATTAGAGACAAGCATAGAAAGAGATAATCTCGGATGTTTAATCATAAGATATTTCAGGCACTCACCAAATTGCAATCTCGATATAATATATAACTGCCAGAATTAAAATAAAATTAAATTGCGAATTTCCTGATGGCTGTATATTAAAGATTTTTCCCGTATGTATAATATTTTATTACAAGTATATAGCAATTGCATACAAGCCAATTGTGCACAAACCAATTAACGCTAGAAAAAAAAAAAATAAAATGAAACTCCCTACACAGAAGTCGCTGTGACTGGCAGTGAGCAATTGCTATAGTATACAAGTGAACCACTTTTTTTTATTACATACTTGCTTTAGGAGACAGTTCTTCTTTCAGAGGAGTAAGTTCTTATTGTTTAACAAAGATATAATAATATAAGATATAATATATAAGATCTCTGTTGAGCAATAAGAATTTACATCGACTTATGATTATTAAATGATTACTGAATTTTACGATTTAATTTTTTTAATTGTTTCCTAATCGTCTAAAAGAGTATGTAATAAAATATTACACATACGGGAAAAATCTTATTTAGAATATATTCAGGGTAAGTGTTAAGAAGACTCCGGTCCACTCAAATTTTGATAAAAATATACTTAAACTAAAAATAACATATGTTACCCGCTTGGAATCTAATCGCCTAGAAGTTACAGTTGAGAGAGACAGTGTCCGCTTGGAATATTTCTAATGAAGACAGTAGGATATGAAAACAGTCTTTTTGGACATTAAAAACCTATTTGGAAATCTTACATCCCGAATTCCATCAACTTTAACTTAAAATATCTCGATTCGCGGGGCAGAGCGACACTTTTTTCTTGTAAATTCTTCATTTTTATAAGAAAACGCATCGATTGAGTATATTTTTATCAAAATTTGAGTGGACCGGGGTCTTCTTAACATTCAGCTTTCAAGAGATTCGTAATTTAATTTTATTTTAATTCTGGCACTCATACATAATGCCGAACAATCTTCACCGAGATTGAATCAGAAACAACAATAAAAGATTTTAATGCTATTAACCATCATTCTTAACATGATGAGTGTCTTCTGATTAAACATCTGGGATTATCTTTCTGTATTGTCTCTAATAAAACACTTCTTGCCATAAATACTCCATCGTTGACTTGATGTTATTCGCTTATTCATATTACCTGTGTAAGAAAAACAATTCATAAAGTATATTTTCTTATTGGCAAGTAAAAGCAATTATACTTTTTTAAAACAACTTATCTGAACTTATATTGAAGGGTTTGATCCGCTTCCTTTCAATTAAACTTTGGAGTGTTTCAGAAATTTCACTGAAAAACTTTTGCCATCTTTCTCCGGATGGATAAATATAAAAATGTCTTCAATCATCTATTAATCATTAGATTATTTGATAGAGAGAGATTTTACTGATTAAAACTGAGATTACATCGGTCGGCTATCAAAACACAATTTACAAATACTATTGGGAGTACAAATAAGTTTCCGCCGCTTGCAAAAGACGGCGCCATTAATAAACTACAGTTAAAATTGTTTGATGTAAAACGACATATCGTAAGAATGGACATCCGGCAACACTATAACCTTGAAATATTAACGATTTTGTATCAGCATCATACTATTTTGATCAAAAAGTTCCCGGAATTCATTCAGAAAATTCAAAAGTTTTATTCATCAAAAGTGATATTGTCCCCTTCAAAGTACTCTCCATCGACTGCAACGTCTTATGCCAGCGCTTGATCCAGCTTTCGAAACATTTCTGAAACCCTATTGTCGGTATAGCCATCAGAGTCATCTTCGATTTTTCCATTACCTCCTTTCGATTATTAAAACCGTAATGATTTTTTCATGCCACTCATAAATAGCTGTTTTCTTTAGAATATCACTGCCGAA